TGCCAAGCTGACATGAACCACCTGCATTTGCTCCTCTGAATCCCTGCCCTGTGCAGGGGAAATGACCCCCTCCCTCTCCCTCTCCCTCTCCCTCTCCCTTTTTTTTTCTTCAAATCCCATCCCCACTTTGAAAACACCCAGGGTGTTGTGACTTCCAGGATATCTGTCAGCAGTTTTTAAGTGTTCAGCTATCAGCCGGGGCAGGATGTAGTATCCCTCACTAGTACTTTTTGTCCTGAACTCCTGTGCCTGGGTGCGTAATACCCCATTGCTCCCCATTTATCAAGCGTACAGCAAGAAGGAGTTTTCTTTCAGTGTGTATTGGCAGGGGGGCTTTTTTGTTTTTGCCGTGAGATGCATTGCTTTCCTGTGGGCAGATCTTGTGAGAAGGTTTTCTTCTGAAGCTTGGGTACCTGAGTGAGTCTAGCGTTCCCCCCCCCCAAGTCTTTGCGTGTAAGGGGGCATAAAGAGCCATTTTTAGTTTGGTATAAAGGAGTTGGAGTGTGGAGTAGTTCTTGGATTGGAGCTGAGGCCCTTGGTTAGGCTGGCTTGCTGTGGAAGATGCTGAGCAAAGCTTCTGCTCACCATGGCTCTGCAGATGCTCTGGATGTCAGTGCATGTTTGTATGGCTGCTAGCACAGTCACATCTCCTCAGTCTCCTGCCCAAGCGTGAGCAGCCTCGACCATGACTTTTGGATCTTGAGTCCGTCCATGCTGGCAAGAGCACCCTGCAGCCGTCTCCGCATCGCTGTCCTGGCTGTGCTCCCTGAATCAATCTCCCTGTCAGGCTGCAATGCCCGCTGCAGTGCCCGCTGCAGTGCTTTGCTTAGCGTGTTTTGTCTTCCACGGTGCTCTGCAAACGCTAATTAGTCCTCTCAGCACCTCAGCTAGATAAGGGATCCCTGTTCCTATCTTGCAGATAAGGAAACTAGCAGAACTTGTTTTAAATAATCTCCTCCCTCCCCCGCAAAGATGATGGCGTCCCTGGCACCTATGCTCTGCTTGTGCCTCTGCTTTGGCCTCCTCTTTTGTTAGAGGGTTTAGGGGTCCTCTTTTTGACCTGTCCCCAAAGATGCACAAAAACGTATTGTTAGCTGACAACGTGGTTGTGAGGCTCCTGACCTGAAGCTGCTGGAGAAGAAAAGGGCAAGATGCTGTTCTCGTGAACCCTGGGCAGATGTCCAGGTGGGGTGTTTGCAGTGGGAAAGGGAGCCCTGCTCTCCTCCAGCTGGAGAACGTGTTGTGTTGCTTAATCATGCTGCAGAGTGAGGTTGGTTTTTTTTTTGGTTTTTTTTTTGGTTTTTTAGCAGTGCCAAGTATGCCAGTCGTTGCTGTCAAAGCAGGCAGGTGCTCCCGTACCTGTGGAAAAGGGGGTGGCTGTGGGTTTGTGCTGTAGCGCTTGGTGCCTTTTGAAGCTATATTTAGTTGGTGACATCTGTAGGCGTTGAGTGGAGGATTTTAGGGGCTGTTTTGAAAGTGTTCATTCTTCCTAACTGGTGGGAAAGTTTAAAAGCCTTGTGGCAAGCTTTCTGCCGCGGAGCCAGGATCCTCAATGAGGTGCGTGTGGAATAAGTGAGGGGCACGTGGGATTGCCACAGTTCGATTGTGGGGGGCGGTGCAAGCAGGCTGGGGAGGTCCTGGGGAAAATGGGGAGCATCTGGGGACCCAGCTAAGAGCATGGGCTGTCCCTGGGGTGAAATCCCCACATGGGAGCCTTATGCAAGGGAACTGGGGAGGGGCAATGCGCATGGCTCCATTCTGCCATGTCTGTCTCTGCCTTATTGACATTTCAAAGTTTCCAGCTCTGAGCAAGGCTGGGCCAGCAGAATGAATCATAGGTTTCAAGGCTAGAAAGGTGACTGGTTTTGATCATCTAGGCAAAGTCAAACTATCTTATGCAGGAGATCAAAGCCAGCTTTGAATGGAGCTAGGTAGGCTATTCAGGGTAGTTCCCTGGGTGTCCCCAGATAGCCTCTGCAATTGCTTGGGGCACTTCTCTTCACCTCCTTCCCACCCTCATCTCCCACCCAAATCTAGAGTGCTTTTGTTTTAAACAAAGCTGGTAGAGTCGGTGCTACAGGGGCTCCTGGCGTCTTGCAGAAACTCACTTCTGCCAGGCCTCCAGCAGGCTCGCCCCAGGCTGGACTCTGGCACAGCTGGCACCGTGTGCGTGGCGCTTAGCATGGACTCTCCCTCAGGGCTGTGGCTGGCCCTCCCAGTGCTGTTCTGCTGTTAGCAGTGGCTGACTTGCACTTGTCTTTGGTGTCAGGAAGGCGACCTTAATGCGTGGTCCTTGGTGCTACAGGAGGGTTGTCTTAGCCCTGCTCAGTACTGGGAGTTGTGTGTGACCAGACCGTGTGTGAACACATGATTTCCCATCACGCTTACTTAGTTTAAAAACAGTTTTGGTACGTGCTGCTTAAAAACATACCAGCAAACCCCATCTGCACATTGGGAAGCTTGTTCCAAACTTCACGGAGCCTTTGAAATTGGAAGGAAACAGCACTGAGACAAATAATTTGGTAGCGTTTCTCAGTGATGTTACGTGATTCCAGGAGGATTTGTCTGCGATCCCCTCTGTGACCTAAGCTGCTTTTGAAATGTCCCTGTAAAAGCTAAACCAGTTTGTTCTTAAAAGATCTGATGCAATTTCAAACCCCCCCAGCCCAGCTGGATGTTAGTTGCTGAGTGCCCCCTCCTTGCCTCAGGCCTATAGTACCTGCTATCACCTCCAGAAGGCCTTTTGTGGGTGGCAGAGGTCACTGAAGTGCAGACAGAACTGGATATGTGCAGAGTTGAGGGGGAATGCACAGGTTAAAGCTGGTGTCCCCTAACAGCAAGATGAAAAACGGGAGGCAGGGCTGAGCTCAGGCACAATAACCCTGCTGAAGGAGGCGGTGAGATACCCTCAAACAGCCCTTGCCTGCTCTGGGCCCTTGTCCCCATGCTGACCAGGGTGCAGAGACTTTTTCCTCGTGCAAGATGTGTTCTGGAAGAGCATATGAAGATGAGTGAGGTTTTTTTGTTTGTTTGTTTGCTTGCTTCTTTTTGTGTTTTCCTCAGGTGAGTGTATGGAAAACGCAATGGGTAGGTGGGAGCAAGGATTTAATTCCTGTTTGAGGCTAAAAATCCTTCCTCCCCCCTCATTGTCCCTGCACAGTTGTTTTGTGTTAGGCAGCAGTGTGCTACTCTACTGGATGTTATATGTGGCCAGCATGAGCCCTCTCCTGCTCGAGGAACCTTGCAGCCAAAATTGGAAGGGAGAAAACAAGTTGGATTTATTTTTCTTCCTGTGAGACCATGTTGTGCTGGGTGCTGTATGAACAGGAGCAAAGACAAGTCATGGTGTGGCTGAGGGCTCTGACTGCTCCAGGTGGTGTGGGAGGTCCATGGTCAGTCCAGGATCCAAGGCCATCTCTGAGGTCCCAGTCAGGTACCTGGACCTCAAGGCCCTTCCTGTAGTACAGTGTTCTATGGGAACCAGCATGCCTGGCAAAACGGAGGCTGCTGGTATAAACCTCCTTCCAGCCCTCTTGGGTTCAGTGCTGCAGCCTGATGTCGCTTTGCTGAGAACACCGATTGCTACTGGTTAGGTGAGGGTCGGTTTTGACGGCCCTTTTCCTAGACAGGGCTTAGAGTACGAGCACCTGGACTCTGATACCCCAAAATACTGCGGAGGCATTTAAGTGCCTAGCTACTACTGGCTACAGAGGCATTTGTGCACTACTTAGAATTGGCTCCCTCTCTCTGTGTGTATGTTCCCTCTCATGGACTTGCTGCTCCGTGCTGGGATGCACTGGAGATCAAAGCAAGGCATGACACAAGCAGCGTCTGTGCATTGCAAGCTTGGCAATGTGGGTGCCTGTCCCTCCTTCAGAGTCCTCTGCCCCGTGGGGAAGGCCAGGCCCATTAACATCGTGATACGCTTGGCTGTTCAAGGGCATGTTTGTTTTGCTGCGCCTACAGCAGATCAGGTTCTGTGTGGAGCTTTACAGAGCAAGCCGAACTCTTTGCCACCCCTCCTCCTTGGCAGGCAAGGCCAAGTGGAGAGGGCTGAGCTAAGCAAGGGAGCCTCTTTGTGCAGAGGGACAAGGTTAGGAGCCTGTCTTCCTGGGGGAAACCAACTGCCTGGATTAATGAGGAGTCCTCTGAATGCAGTAAACGCTGAGAGTCTGATGCGGGTAGCCTCTGGCAGTGGCAGGGATGTGATGGGGCAGGCAGCAGGCTTAAGTGTGTGGCTTCACCCCGTATCTGCAGCAGTCAGCTCTGTGGAGGGGGCTCTGTTTTCTGCATACCTCCACTTGATCTTGATGGGCCCTTCTGCAAGCAAGGTCAGAAGCTGGCCCTTCTTTGCTGAAGGGGGAGAAATGCAGCTTGTGGCTTGCTTTCCATCCACCTCCCACCAGAGCTAACATTTCCACAGCCCTCAGCTCTGTTCTAAAGGTTTTGTTTTCCTCTTCCTCCAGAACATACGACTCCTGCGAAAGTGGTGAGGGCTGCCAACCCAAGACAGCGGAAAGGAAGCAAGGTAAGTCTGGGCCTGCCTCCCCCCTTGCTCACATCCAGCGTCTGATGCAGTTGTCAGCACAGAGTGAACACCCTGAGGGTCTGGTGAGCAGAACGCTTCCGTTGCAAGCCGGCTTGCAGAGAGGTTCACGTGCGGGCCTGGCTGTTTGCAAGAGCATGGAGGAGAACGTCCTGATTCTCCATCCATCCCCTCTGCAGCTTTCTAATATTCTTGCGTGCTGTGTGGACCCACCCGTTCTCTGCCTGCCTCTGCTAGGGGGGGCATGTTTACCTTCCTTCTCTCAGGGAGACATTCAGAGCTCAGTGCTGGGCGTGGAAAACTTCTCCTGAGGACACCATAGCCCTTGGTTGTGAGATTGGCTCCTGCCCTGCTTTGCAGTGTAGCTAGGGCTGTGGTGTGATGGAGGAATGTATCTGTAGGTCCCCATTCTACCCAGTCTGATCAGTTTGTGTTCTTTACTGGGACACAGCAGCTAGGATAATTGGTTTGAAGCCAAGCGGCTCTTTCTGCGGAAGAACGAGGGCAGTCTGTTCCCAGGGGTTAGTGTCTGATGGAGGAACCCCAGTTTCTGAGGATGTTGCATGAAGTTGGGGCACAGCTACCCTAGGAATAAATGAGAACGTTGGCTATGAATGTTGGCTCCCAGCAGTCAGCAAAGATGCATCTGAAACTTTACATGACTTTATCCGTTCCACCTCAGGAAAATGGCCATAGGGACAGAAGACACTCTTGTGTGCGGACCAAGCATGGCTCTGCACTGGAGATGGTTTTCCCAGGAAGCCTGCCTTCCAGAGAGAGAAGCATGACACCTGGGTGTAGAGACATACTCTCACGAGGGACTCAGTGACTCCAAATTAACTTAGAAATGAGAACCCCCTCAAGGTCAAGGGGGAATTTCTCTGCCCGGATGATCTTGAACTCAATGCCTAGACGTGACTAATTGCATATCCAGGCAGCTGTTAGGGTCCTTTCCTTGTGCTGCTCTCTGTACTGTTTCCAATAGCAAATGTCTCCTCTGGAGGAGGAGGAGGAATGGTGGTAGTGGCCAGCAGAAATGACTGGTGGTCCCACATGTGAAAATGGGATATCTGGAACAAGGCTATTCTAATGACCATCGCATAGCTGCTTGATTTTTTTTTTTTTCCAAACAATTCTTCTGCATGGTCCCTATACTTTGTGATGACCAACACTTGGTTGCAGCTAGGCACTTAAGTGAAAATAAGCCTGACAACTTGCCACTAGGTGGAGGCAACTACTTTAATGGGACGTGGTTGCTTCTGGTTGGTTAAGGATGCTGGAAGTTCTGCTGCCTGTCCAAGGGACAGTAACTGTGATGAGGTCTCAGGGGCTTGAATTTACAGCCTTCCCCATTGCAAGCTACAGGGATGGTGCAGGAATTCACTCCAGAGACCTTGATCACAAACAAAGTGTACGGTCTGGGGATAAAATCAGAGACTGATCATGTGGGAAGGATGCTACTGGTCCATGTAAACGCAAGGGAGGTGAAGAAGCCAGGACTCCTATTTGCTGTTCCTTAGGCTGTAGGTTTGTTGTAAGCCGCAGCAAGGATTGAATGTTGGACGCGAGCATGCAAGCGCATGAGCAGAAAGGCAGCCTGGACTGCAGAGGGCTTGTGCCTGCTGGCCCCCCTAAGAGGAAAGCAGAGCCTTGCATGTGATGGCTCAAGACCAGAGCTTTTCTCATAATGTCTCTTAACCCCAAAGGCAGTCTATTTTAAAACTAAGGGTGGCATTGCATCGCCCAAAGGTGAGTTATCCTGAGCAGCTTGGTGCCGTGTGCTCCTGCTGGGGCAGAGCTTGGTGGGAGTTGAGAGGCTGATGGCACCCTCGTTACAATCCCTCTTAGATATAAACTGATCTGCAGCTATTTGGGATTACAATGGGGGCCCTGCTTGGCTGGGGAGGTGGGGCTCTGTCTGTGCCCGTCGTAATAGTTTGCTTGTTGTCCCCAGACATGCTGGGGATAGCCAGCTGTGGGACACGAGTGGGTGATGGCAGTGACAGTGTGGCTGGGAGGGCTTTTGGCTGCCAGCCCAGGGAATGGCACCTACAATTCATGCGTTAATGAGACCTTTCTCTTTGGACATAAGGTTGGTGACTTCGGTGATGCCACAAATTGGCCAACACCTGGAGAAATAGCCCACAAGAGTGTCCAGGTGAGAACATAAGATCCTCAGCAGCTGTTTCTGGCTGAACCCCAGTATTTTGTCCCCTGGTAGCGTGCTTTGGGAGGCCGTGTTGTTGGTAGGCACCTCTGCATGCTCTGTGGCTGTGAGGCAGGAGACCCAGGGCCTTTTGAAGGGGTTCTCGCTCTGCTGAGCAGAACAAGGCCCTTACAGGCCTCCCTATCCTCTTGCAGCCCTGGTAGCTCTGGCTGAGCCAGAACATTTGGGGTGCTGAGTGTCAGTGCAGAGGCAGCCAGGAATAGCGTGCTGGGTGCAGGGGATTTCCTTTTAGGGCTGCCCTGCATATCGGGCTCCCTCACTCAGTGGTGCTATTCTGGGAGCCTGGAGCCCGCGCTAAACCCTGGGCCTGGTGAAGCGGGTATGGCAGCTCCTGGACCGGCTCTCCTTCAGGGCTAGTCATTGCACGAAGGGGTCTGGGTAAATGCTGAGACTTCCACTAAAGAAACTGAAAGTACACGTGAGAAAGGGCTTGTATGCCCAAGGGGCGCAGCCTTGCGTTCCCAATAAAGACACGTGGGCATTGTTGAAACCTTTCTATGTTTGGGACACTGCTTCGCCAGGTCCCCACCCTCTGTCAGGGCATGAGGGTCACTCACCCTCTTTGCCATGTTGACAGTCTGGTCCCTTGAAGCCCTCATCCCGGAACACCCCGCCTCCTTGGCAGTCTCTCTCAGTAACTTCTGGGCCCAGAATTGTGTCCGAACTTGAGTGCTTCCCAGCATTTGCTGGAGCTGTCTCCAGGAAAGTTTCTGTAGAGCACCTTGCCCTGGTCAGAAATAAGGCCTTCTCCAGGAACAGGACAGCTTGGGGGGGCGTGGGGGCAGGGATGTTCCCAGGCTAGGGCAAAGCCCTCCTGTTCCTACTCCCACCAGGATTGCTGGCCTCTGCCTCCAGCTCTTCAGTTTCCCACACCCTTCACGTTTCTTCTTGTACTCCTGTGTCTGCAGCAGCCACACAAAGCACCGTCCATCCGTAAACTGCCTGTCAAGAAAGACATGAAAGAACAGGAGAAAGGAGATGGCAGCGATGGCAAGGAGAGTCTGAAAACTAAATCGGATGAGTCCGGGGAGGAGAAGAACGGTGACGACGATAACCAGAAGTCAGCCCAAAAGAAGAAAGGTAAGGCAGGCTGTGGCAGACCCCTTGCAGGGATGGTCACCTAACCTCAGCAGCAGTCGGATGCCTGTCTTCCCCTCTGTGACCCACGGTCCAGTAGAAGCACTGCCCACTTTCCCAGTAGGCCTTGCTGCAGGACGTGCTCCCAGCCCTGGGGCAGTCACGATGGAAAAGTGTTTGCAGGCTGCAACAGAGCAAGGTCTTGCTTTGGTGACTGGAATTATTCAGGCAGACACTGTGAGCTTTGGGGAGATGTGAGGCTCTGGGCTCTAGGGCAGCCTTGGCAGAGATTGTCCTGTTCTGTTGCTCCCTGCAATAAGTAGGAGGGGAGCAGGTAGAGCAGGGCCCAAGTAGGGTTGTCCATGTGCCCTTGTCTGGGGAGCTGTGGCACGTTTTCATGCGTGCTCCCCGGTGGCACAGAAAGTCCTCTCGCTGCATGTTGCATCAGCCATGGTTGACACATGGACTTGGTCTGGCCTGAGCCTTGCGGGCAGAAAGGGGGAGAGGAGGAACGAGTGCCGTGAAGCAACAGTGGGGTTTGCATGCTGTTCCTCTGTGCCGGAGAGCCCCAGTCAGATGCTTTCTGCATCCTCATGGTGCTTCACAAACGGTTTTGGAGGCAATGGGGCCCTGAGGGACATCCAAGGAAAGAGTTGGTGCAAAAGGCCCTGCTACTTTCCCCACTGTGTGGGGGGTGTGAGTGGAGAGAAGAGGCTGAGGAGCAAGGAAGCAGATACTTTCTAAACCTATGTCACACCCAAATCCTCTCCTTTTGCAGGCAACAAACACAAGTGGGTCCCTTTGCAGATAGACATGAAGTCAGAGGTGCCCAGGGACAAAACGGCCTCTCGGAACAACCGGCAAAACGAGCAGCACAGACACCCTTCCAACAACCGCAGTGATATGAAAGGTGGGCGCTGGGGCTGCGACCCCACTCTGCCTCCCCTTGCCATGAGGCAGCGCTGCTGAGGCCATCGCTCCCTGGCCTCAGGGGAGACCAAGCCCCATTGCTGTGAGGCTGGCTGCCTCGGCCAGGCACAGCATGGGGTGGTGCGGATGCTTCATTCATTTGAAGAGCTCTGAGGGCAGCCAGGCTTGCCCTAAGGTGTCTTGAACTCTTAACAACCCTCCTGCCTCTTCTTCTCATCTCTCACAGGCTGGCACCCAGATAATAAGCATGAACGCAGCTGGCAAGACCATGATGAAACTTCCAGCGTGAAGAGCGAGGGAGGAGCTGTGCGAGGGGCCTTCCGGGGCCGAGGCAGGGGCCGCGGCAGGGGCCGCGGCCGCGGCAGAGGAGGTGCTCGCTGTATGTGTGGCCTTGTAACAGCAGAGAGAGGGAACCGGGCACGTGCTGAAGCGTGCAAGGCTGTAGGGAGTGTGTGTGTGTGTGTGTGTGTGACCTGGGGCCCTGAGAAGCTGCATGAGGAGGGCAGAGAGCAGCAGGGATACACAGAAATAATATGGCAGGTCATCCCAGCTAAGAAGCATGAGCTGTTGTTCCCTAGCCAAGGAGAACTCTTGATTTGGATTTCTCTGTGAGGATCTGTGTGTTGATCTGAAGGTGGCATCCAGCTGAGCTGATTTCAGAAAAAGCAAATGATTTTTATTAGGATTTG